TGTTGAAGCAAGTTATAACTTATAAAAACTCATGCCTTTTAATAAAAAATATGTTAGCCTGAAAAGCTGCAAAAGATTTTTCTGAGTTTTAACTAGCAGTATATAAGACACTGATGCTCTAAGCTTAATTTTAGCTTCAGTAACTCACACTCCAAAACCAGTCTTCTTAGGAAGAAAACCAGTTGCCTGCCCATATATTATATGATTTTATATGGTCATGCAAATTACCACATTGAATTTTTGAGATTTGTGAAGAATCCTATCACAGACTTAAAATTAACTCTTGCCTCTTATATCTGTTTTTTTTTTAAAAAAAAATCTGAAAATTAAATTGGTTGTAAAAAAGCTGAGAGCCATGTATGGTGCAGAAACTTGGAGTTGTACATTCATAATTTAGAAAATACATTTTGTATTATGCCATAGTGAAGAAAACTTTAGATCTTTTTGGTGTTTTACCAAATCCATATTGATTATGGATTTGCATCTGAATGTTTATAACACTATAATGATGAAAGATGTCTACCTTACATCACATGCTTTGCATGTAGAAAATCCATGTTCTTTGTAACCAGACAAGTCCTGGTGCTTTTGGTTAAAGAAAGATCTTGGATCTATCGCTCATAGACAAATCTGTTTCTTGATACTTTCCAAACATGATAAACTTTAAGGACTATAAACTCCAACCTGCATAAGTGTTGATGTGCTGCTTGGATGTTATGGCAAAGGGAATCAGAAACATCTGGATGGGACAATGTTATTTAAATATCTATTGTACTTAGAATATACAAGCGAGACCAGAAAAGCAAGCTTGTTGAGAGGTGAGCTCAATCATAAACGTGCAGCAACAATACAAGCTTTCCAATCACAGGTGGTATTCAGCAGGTTCTGACCAGTTCTGGAGAACCAGCAGCGGACATTTTGAATAGTTCAGAGAACCGCCAAATCTCACCTCTGACTGGAGATTTTACAGTATCCTTCCCCTGCCACGCACACCAAGCCACGCCCACAGAACCAGTAGGGAAAAAAAATTGTATCCCACCACTGTTTCCACTGTATTGTAAAAGGTATTTTCGCTGCCAGGGAAAGGTGTTAAATATAACACCGTAACTTGACTGCATTTGGGTGCCATGCATGGCAATGCCTGTGGCAGGAGATTTGAAGCTCTGCCTCTGGCCCCCAAATGCCTTTAGCTTACTCTTGCTATAGTGCACCAAATGTTGTGCTGTTCTAATTTATAAAAGTGTGAGATCATTAATTAAATTAATTTTAATTGTTTTTCTCCTTCTCCTTCTTTTGATAAAGGCACGATTTGTACAGTGTATTCCATTTTGGTTGCTCCAGAGCAACAAAGTACAAGAAACTGTGATATGTCTTTTGACAGAGCATTCCAAAAGATAACATCTTATCCACCTCGGTGAGCCTGCTTGAGAATCTGGTATGAATTATAGCAGGAGTCAACTTGATTAATTGCAAGATTTTGAAACAAGCATGAAAAGAGTCCTTCAGTATCTTTTTTTTTTTAAATCATGTATTCATTTTGCTTTGTTTACCCATTTTTATTGCTTCCATTACTTGCTGATGCATATTTTTAAGCACTGTTATTGCCATCATGATTTATACTGTTGATTTTATTTTCACAATGGCTTTGGTGGGAAATAATTGTATAGAACTATTTTAGGAAAGAGTTCAGTGTATTAGATATGAACAAGACAAATGGAGATATGAATATTTAGTATGTATCCCGTCTGCAAATAAAAGCTGACTATCATATAATTTTAGTTAATTATTTTATTTTGTTTGTATGTAAATAATATGATTTAACCCAAATGATAATACTTTTCTTTTTAAATGATAGATGGGAATCACTTTAGAAGAAATGAAGATGTGTTTTTAAATATAATTATCTATCTATCATCTCTATTTTTTGATCCACATGCATTTTGTATAGCTTAATAAATACTGTTTACAAGCCATTTATTTTCTCTTTTGCTTCTGTATCTTCCTTATTTTTCTTCTGAAACCCAAACAACCAGCTCACAGAATGATAATTAGAATAGATATGTACTGATAATATACATACCTGTTGAGAAGGAATTAGCATTAGATATTTCTTTTTATCAATGTCTGCTTTTGAGTTGATTCATTCTTGAACACATACAGTTGTCTTCAGATGTATCTTGGTTGAAATTTTTGTAATTCAACAAAGCTACAGCTGAAGGCAGCTGCTTGAGTTCAGAATGAACCAACCCAAAAATAGACTTTAATAAAAAAAAATATTCACCAGATAATATATGGTTATAATTCACTAGGTTGACTGGATTGGAAAACTTGTTAAGGAACCGGGAATGTTAAAGGTTTCTCTCTTTTTTTTACACTGCCAACACACACATAGATCACTTATCACAGTTTTTCATTAATTGGTCTGTTATTGCAATCCTGACAAGTGAAGATGTAAGGGAATGTTACATAAACACAGTGTGTTAGGTACATTGAAAGTCAAAGGAGCTACTTTAAAGATATAGCTGGCCCTTCCAGTCTTCTCTTTCTCCTCCTCTGAATAAACATCAAGGAAACCAGTATCTTTCAGTAAATGGACAATACTTATTTGGGGCCACAAAATCAGTACTCTGTATTCAGTTCTTTGATAAAAGATCTGTTCAGCAAAGTAAATCCTTTCTTGGCAAGATATTTACAAGATTTGTACATACGTGATAACACCAGGTTATGAAACAGGTGGGAAACTCAATTGAGACTACACTAGGGAACAACATTAGTTCTCATCTGTGAGTTTCAATATAAATAAATGCTTACATCCACATGTTCATTCTTTCATAGATATATTTCAAATTTTAACTGACTGGGCCAGGTTTGAGTTCTAGAAGAATTTAGCTGGAATAGTTGAGTAAAATATTTAATCTATGTGATCACTTCGGAAAAAAACCCAACAACTAGATGTCCCATATTTTTTACAACCTCCAACAAGGATTGTGCATAGAGTAAGATCTTGGTATTTTTCTCACCCTAGCTGATACTTTTTTTACTGTCTCATCCAATTCACATGGATATATTTCTTGCTTTGGATATCATTTCCAACTTCTTGTCTGTTCTCTGAAGTCATCATTCTCCATGTGCTATGTAGACTGACCTCTTCCAGAAGAAACCTTTCCGAACCCATATCCTG